GCCCGAAATCCTGTGAGCGGACATATTCGATCTTAAAGTCGTATCCGAGTAGTCTTATTGCCCATCGTTTGAGGCGAGCTGCTGTGGTCGGTCTCAGTCCCTTGGTGTTTTCTGTTTGTAGGAGTGCGACGAGGGGTTTATGGTCCGTTTGCAAGATGAAATTCCTTCCCCACAGGAATTTGTGAAAGCGTTCGACCGCCGTGACTAACGCGAGGGCTTCCTTTTCTAGTTGAGAGTAGTTGCGTTGAGGAGCTGTTAAACTTTGTGCCATGTGGTAGACAGCACGTTCTTGTCCATTCTGATCGCGTTGTAGGAGTACTCCCCCAATCCCCGTGGAGCTAGCGTCGGCTGCAACTATTAGGGTTTTTGATGGGTCGAAATGTTCCAGTAGTAAAGGGCTAAGGAAAATTTCCTTGAGGCGTTGGAAAGCTTCGTCGTGCTGCGATTCCCAAGACCAGGGGTGGTCCTTTCTCGTCAGATCCTCCAGCGGTTTTTTTAGTTCGTGGAGGTGTGGTATAAACTTTCCGTAGTGGTTTACCATCCCTAGTAGTGTTTGAACCTCCGGCACGCAGGAAGGTTTCGGCATCTTCGCAATTGCTCGAGTATTTTCTGGATCTGTGGAAATGCCCGAGCTGTTCACTATTAGACCGAGGTACTTGATTTCCTCTAAGGCGAAGTGGCACTTCTCCGGCCTCAACCTCCAACCTCTTTCTTCAAGTTGGTGCAAGGTCAGGCGGAGACGCCTATCGTGTTCTTGGCGGGTGGCACCCCTCACTATAACGTCGTCCAAATACGCCTCCGCGCCCTCTAAACCGGCGAGTGTTTCATCCATAGCTTCTTGGAAAATGGCTGGCGCCGTCTTAAGGCCAAAGGGTACACGATTGAATCTATAAAGGCCGTTTGGGGTCGTAATTGTAGTGACGTCGCGGTGCTCTTCAACGACTTCGATTTGCGAAAAAGCTTCGCTGAGGTCCAGAACACTGAAATATTTATTACCGTTTAGTTTAGACATTTTGTTATCTACGTTTGGCAAAGGATACGGGTTGTTTTTTAGAGCGCTGTTCACTGCCACGGAATAGTCAGCACATAATCGGATATCCCCATTAGCCTTTTTAGCAATAACAATTGGGGAACTCCAATCTGATTGGCGAACGCGTTCGATTATGCCTAGAGATTCCAGACGTCGAAGTTCTTTTCCGAGCGGCGTTTCCATGGCATATGGGATTGGCCGGCAGGGTGTTCGAACTGGAACAAAACTTTCGGACAGCATGAATTTGGCTTTAAAGTTTTTGCATTTTCCGAGGCCGGAGGAAAAAAGTTTTGGAAATTCTTTGATGATCTGGTCTCTGAACGATGGTACTGGTCCCACGGTCGGATTTGATTTGCCGTGGATAACGGCTGCACGCGGTGTGCATTCGTTGAGGCAGAGTTCGCGGCAGCTGTCGAGAGACATGGATCCTAGGTTGAGGTTATCGATGGCATTCAGTCCGAGCAGGTTAAGGCCGCCACGCGCGACCACCTCTATGAAAACGTCACCCTCGCGGTCAGCTACACGTATTCTACCCTTAAATCTTCCAACTGTTTCTAGCGCGTTTCCACCCGCGTGTTCCACGGGTCTGCTTGTATTGAGTGTCGGGCTGCCTAAACGTATCCACGTGTCTTTACCGATGGTAGTAACATCCGATCCGCTATCGTGTTGGAATTGCACTGTTTTACCGAGTAATTTGACCGGGACGTAGACGCGACGGTGTCTGCCGATCGACGTTATCGACTGGATCGCTGGCTTGACTGTTTCATCTGTGTCCTCGTCTGTGTCGTCGGCCGCGGATAATTTGTCGACTTTCGCACTCGAGCGACATACTTTGGCAATATGGCCTATCTTAGAGCACTTATAGCATGTAGCGTCGCGGAATGGGCATTTTGACCGGAGGTGCGAGCCATCGCAGCCGTTGCACTTCGAAAGACGGGACGGTTTCCTTGACGCGCCGTCGCGTTCCTCGACTCGTTTAGCGGTTTCCGCCGGGGGACGTTTTTGCGCTTTCGGATTTGCGCGCACTGCGTGTGTGATTGACGCGGAAGTGGTCGGGTTCTCGAGCGTTTTCATATTTTCCGATACGTTCATATGGGCTTCTAACTCTGAAGTGATATCTTTGAGAGTGGCATCCGGGTTTTTCTCTACTATACGTAAAGCCATCTTCTTCAGGTCGTCGTTTTCGCGAGAGAAACAGAATGATTGTAGGAGTAATAGTACTCTAAGGTTATCGTCGGTAAGTTTAGTACGCTCGAAATCTGATGCGAAACGGTTTATTCGGTCGATATGTTCGGAAATGGAAACTGCCTTATCGTACCTGTAGTTCAAAATTTCGATGCGGCGGCGCGTGAGAGATACCTTGTCGCGGAAAAGGTTCTTCAAAATGGCGATGAGATCTTTCTGTTT